ACTCCTCTTAACAAAGTATGTGCTACTTAGGTACACTCAATTCTAATGATGTTAAAAATATATTTAATATATATTTAAAAACTCACTTAAAGTGCATACATCTTTTAAATCTAAAAAATATAAACATTGTTATGGAGTTTCTCTATTCATCATTTCAGACTGAAAGTTTTGGAATTGCATAATAATAAGTGAAAGACGTTAGCTTTATGTGTTATATTTTCTTTTAAAAACTTTTAATATTTTACATATTTATCATTGATACTCCCTTTTTACCTAATATTTATATTCATGCATTTTGAGAGTAATATTTAAAATAGAAAGTATTCTATTATATATCATAAACATTATTTCTGTATTTAGTTTTATAAATCTAAAATAATATTATTATTTATTTATATTCATGCTTTTATATTTAAAATTAAGGCTTTATAACACTGTTATGAATGCTGAAACTTTATGATGATAAATGAATGGTAATTTTTTACTCTATACTGGGGTAGAGTAGGGTTTGATGATATATAATCTTGACTTTATGCTAGAGCTATAATATATCAGAAAATTCATAAATGGTATATAGATAGGTTTAATATCATATAATTAAAATTCTGTATATGGTCCATGTACTAATGTTATCTCAATCATATTTATACCTTATTATGTTTTCATGTATAAATGCAATGTAGGATAAAGTGGTAGAAAATTTATGATATTATATAAATCTTAGACTACATCTTAGCCAACCATAAGTTTACTAATGAGAAAATATTTTACACAACAAATATCTAGAACTATTAACTCCTCTATTTTATGTAAGAAAATATCATATTTTTATAGAAATTACTTTTTTATATTCTAATTTAGATACTTTTTTTCTTTTATTTTATTTAGTACTTTTTAAAATTTATTTAAAAATATTACTTAAAATTACATTATATTTTATTTTGAATTATTTTTTCCATATTTGTATTCGATATCCTGTCCCTTCATAATATTTACATTTATGCTTTTTAGAAGTACTATCTAAAGGTTAAGGTATTATATTTTATATCATTAAGTTTCTTTGTGTATATGTTTTTATATAGAGAGAATGCTAAAATGAATTAAGATTTTTACCTTTATTTTTAATTTATTTTTATATAAATTTACATTGAGACTAAAATATTTCAATGAAAGTTATGTTTTTATCCTGATATTATGGTATTGATGATTCATAATATTGATTTTTTCTTAAAACCATAACATATCAGAAAATAAAAAAAGGTCCATTGATTGCTTTTTTAAAAATAAAATTTTAAGTGATGAGGAATGGTAGCCTTTTGTATTTGTCTAATATTGTCTCAATGATATTTTATGTATCTGTTTTCCATGTATCAATGCACAAATTATTAGTGTAAATAACAGACTTATTACACATTCATCAATGAATCTACTCATATTGAGTTGTCTCTTAGCTTAGATGTAGTCTCATATTTGTGCAATATCATAAAGTTAAAAATCATAAGATTATGATAAAAGTATAACTTATTTACAAGATATAATAGCTGGAGCTATCCAACTCTTCTATTTTAAGTTATAAAATATATAATTTCTATAGTCACTACTTAATTTACTTTTAACTTTATAGTATATCTTTTATTGTGTGTACTATATACCATCTTTGTAAAACAATTATGTTTAATTTTAATAATGTAGCATTGAATTAATCAGATACTCTTTGTTCTATAAAGTTTTTATTCTATAGAAGAAAGAGTTTATGATTGATTTGATAATACATGTTTAAACATATTGAACATATTTTTTGTTTTAAATATATCGTACATAGTAGACATAATAAAAAAATTCATTAATGAATACCATCTTTGTACAACTAAATGTTTAAAATCATTTGAACCTAGTGCATTATATTATCTTGGATCAGTTGTCTAATTGCCTTTTATATGTATTACGATATCATTTATGCCTCCTTGAAAATTTGTTAATTTTAACACTTCATTCTCTATTTCTTACAATATTGTGAATGCATTAGTATAGGGATTTATCTCTTTTAATAATTTATCAAGACCACCCATTAGTTGCTCATTGCATTTAGAATTGTGTTTGTTTTTTGATTTTTATCTCCGTTGCTTGAGCAGTATCTAAAATATTTCATTGTGAATAAGCTGCATATTTTTCATTATTTGGTTTGAAACTTCCAATATATCCACGCTGGGAGCATCATGTTTATTCTTAATGTTTTAGTATTTCAAAAATTTGAAATCATAATTATAATTTTAATATAATCATAATTATAACATACATAGTTAACATAACATAATATAATATTTATATTTAAAATCCATTTTAAAAATATAACATAATAAATAATATAATAAATTTAACTTATAACATAATATAACATTTAAAACTCTGAGTGCTGCATGATCTTCTATAAATGGAATTTTTCACTGTGGGATTCCATGGCCAGATGAGTCAATTAAATATTGAGGCTTGGTAACTATTTTATTTATTTAAAATCTCCATATAATTGATCTACAATTTTTCCTCTTGAAAAAATTTGTTTCTTAAGTACACTAAAATATAATGGTTTCAAAAATAAAGATTTAAAACTCACTTAAACTATATACATCTTATAAAATTAAAAAATATAACCATTTTTATTGAGTTTTATTTTTCATCTCTTTAGACTGAAAGTTTTGGAATTGCATGATACTAAGTGATAGAAATTACCTTTATGTGTTATATTGTTTTAGAAAAATTTCAAAATTTTACATATTTATCTTTGATATTCCCTTATTCCTAATACTTATATTCTTACATTTTGAGAGTAATATTTAATATTAGAAGTATTCTACTTTATATCATTAGCATTATTTCTGTATGTGTTTTTTAATAGAGAGAATGCTAATGTAAAATAAGTTATTATCTCTCTATTTTCATGGATTTATATTTAAAATTAAGGCTTTATTACAATATTATAAAGGATGAAATTTTATAATGATAAATGAATGGCAAGGTTTTACTCTATACTGAGGTAATAATGATATATAAAAATTTTCTTTATTCTAAAAATATAATATACCAGAAAATTCATAAATGGTATATAGATAGATTTAATATAATTAATGTTCAATTGATGATGAATCACATTTCTTTAGATGGTTCTTGTACTAATGTTGTCTCAATGATATTTATACCTTATTATTTTTGTCATGTATAATTACAATGTAAGAAAAAATGTTAGAAAATTTATGATATTACATAAATCTTAGACTACATCTGAGCGATATATATAAAATTAGAGCCACCTACTGCAATGATCAATGAGGCTCTTTCATTTAAATATATTGGATGATTAGTGAAAGATCTCGATTCAACTTTGATCTTTATTTATATATCAATAAACGTTTTACAATTCTTTCTTTACATTTCAACTCCCTCGTTTTCCTTTTCGTTCCAACTTGTTTTCATTCTGCATTTGTTCTCGGCAGCCACTGAAAATGTTTTCCAGCCATAGACATAAGAGATGTTGATGTCCGGAGAATACAAAAAAGAAAAACGCAAGCAAATGAAGTTAGTAATGGTGAAAAGGAAATAGGAACTTACTGCTGGCATTTTCTTTTAAGCCACTTGAACTTTCTTGTTCTCAAGGCCGGGAGCACTCCTTTTCACACCACTCCTTCACAGCTTGTCGGTCTTAATGCTGCAATTTTTGACAAATCCATGGGTGTTGCAGAACCTGATCGAACCTGAACCTGATTGGTCCTTGCTTGTTTGCAGCAGAGGATCTCCTTTCTAAGATGTTGGCCGTGGATCCGAAACAGAGGTCGCCCCCTGTCACATGAGATCAAATGCTTCCATTGGCTGGTATCCTCCCTTTCCCAGCGTCTTGTATAAAATTGCTCCTAGCCCCCACATTTCGATGGCTGCCATGTAGAGCTCCAATCCTTGTTCTCCACCACCTCAGCTGCCATGTACTTCGCTGTTGTGATATCTCCTAAAGGTGCTGATCACCACTTGTCATGCATGTTTAGTTTGGAAAGAATGTTGTCGAGCTTGAGATTCTGGTGAACCACGCCCCTCAAATAAATCTCTTTGAATGTCTTTACCAGCTGCTTGATGATTCTGGCTGCTTTCTCCTCACGAATCTTCTCGCAAATATGCTATATTTAAAAGACCAAGTAATTATGGAATAACGCCTTCAGAAGGGAAGGCAAAATTTCCACCAACGAACACAACCACTGGAGGAAAAATGCCTGTGCCCTGTCCAAAAGGAGACTCGGACAACACCACAAAGTCAGCAAACTTTCCTGGCGTCAGCGACCCAACCAAATCCTCCAATGCAGCTGCATACACAGCCGAGGATGTGTACCTGTGAATCCAAAAACAAAAACTGCATTTCAGTTTCTCATCTGTTATCTCTTACCCTGCCACTACGTCCCATGCAGAAATCCTTTCCTTGGGATGACTCCAGCCTGAAGTGTTCTCTCCATGGCTGTGCGGATTCCTCCAAGTGGATTCACTGCTACCACCTTGAGACAAACCATTCATGTAACGCCGAAGAAAAAGTATTTGACAGGCTTACAGGCCAGTCAGATCCTAGAGCAACCACACTACCGTTTCTGAGGAAGGAAATCATTGCACTTCACCAGTTTATACCCCTCTTTGTGGCAAGCCTGTAGCTTTTGCATTATAGAAGTGTAAAGTAGGGACCATGTATTATCACCCACTCTGCAAAAGAGAGTCGATTAGGAAGGATTCTAGCAGTGTATCACCTTTTCACGTCCGTGTTCACAGAAGATTATAAAGAAGGTAAACTAACAAAAAAAAGCACATTACTAAAAAACAATCTTTTGTATTGTGTAGACAAAGAAGAAACAACTGATAATCCAGAAGAACAAAAAAAAGGTGAGGCTGTGTAATAAAGACTTTGTGAAACTTTAATAATTATAGGAAGAGCAGGTATGGATATCCATGGTTTCTTTGAACTCCTCTTTTCTCGGTTAGCTTTTACTACGGCCTTTTGGACGTGCTGTGGTTTCCTCCTGTGATGCTTTCCTTCCTGGCATTAGAGAGTAACTGAGGATGTAAGATTGCACTGCCTGAGCAAAACCAGGCTTGTACGAGAAGAGCAGCCCACGGAAGAGCTTCCCATCGATGGAGGCTTCTAGCGTGTATCTGTAGTTGAATACGTCGCTTACTTTAGCCTCGAACATCTTCTCGCCTAGCGGCTGAACGTGAGCTTGAAACTCTGTAGCATGAGTTTGACAGAGAAAATTTGGAGAGGTCCAAGGTTTTCTGCAGATACCTCCGTGAGATGAAACCAAGCTCTTGTCCGCATCCCGTTGCTTGTCTAGCACGAATGGCGTGGCACGATACTCTTGCCGCCTTCTCTTAAGTTCCTTACGCATGGGTAGCTTTGGTTCTGATGGATCTTTCTCCCTCAGCATCTTTTCACAGAAAAACGGCAACCATATTGTCAGCAGCAATGTCAATAAAAGAAGAAGCCAACCTGTGTCGAGGAAATACATGTCATCCAGAGCTTCAAGCTCTTCGTTACATCCCCCATAGAAGAATAATATGCCTCGCCCTGCGTTCACCAGCTCTTGGCATCAGCTCGGCACTAGTCGTCTTTACCTCCCGCCATGCCATTGTTTCTGGAAACACAAATGAATTCGCAAGTTTAAAACCAGCACAATGTATGTACCTGTGTCCAGAATATGAATGTCGTATAGATAGGCATTACCACCGTTCTTGCCACCCATGACAATGCAACAGTTCTTATTATGGATATCCCGAGGAATAGGTGAGACTCCAGTGGTAGAAATCTTCTTCCAGAAAAAAGTATCTACAGGAAAAAAAAGAGTTTAGAAGAAAACCAGGAAAGATAACAGGATATTACTCATGTTCAAAACATGGAGGTCGTTGTAGTACTCCTCCTCTGAGGGATCGCTGGATTTCCCACATCCCCCAAACACTAACAGGTTGTCACCGATGAGAGATGTGCTATGTCCTTCTCTCGGAGCAGGAACATCACCAAAAACGTCGGGTTTCCCCCAGGTGTTGGCAGCTGCATTGGATGATAAGAACAAGAAAAAAAATTTGATAGAACTCGCTTACCAGTATCCAAAACAAAGAGATCATCTAGCGGGCTGGTTCCATCGGTACCACCAAACACATAGAGCTTAGACCCGACGGCCGTGGGGCTGTGGCTGTCCCGAGGAGAAGGGTGCGTTCCTTTCATCACAGGCTTGCTCCAGATGTACGTCCCTGCACGATCCCAGCAAAACATGATCAAAACCATATTTCCAGTTGAATAGCGAAGAGCAAGAGAGTGAAAAACCTTGATTCTAGTCGTGGTTCCAGCCTCGAGAACCTGGAACAAACAGGGACTTGAGAGACTCGAAAAAAGAATGGCAACGAGCAAGAGAGTGAAGAACCTTGATTCTAGTCATCGATGACAACGTGAATCCCCTCATTTTCCGAGACGTCATCCCTGTCGTGCGCTCCATCAGAGCCTCTTCGCCTTTCACTCCCAATCCTCGTCGCATTTCCGAGCAGAGCACGTCGATCTACCAAATGCACCTGCGCAGGCGGATGCTGGCGGATTTGTTCCCCACGTAAGTCTGGAAGGCGTTGAGCCTGTTCTCGCTGATCATCGAGCACAACTATGGCGACACAGAGAAAGCCGTGAGCCTCTCAAACCTTTGCAAACAGAGAAACAAATACACAGAGAGAGAGAGAGAGAGAGAGAGAGAGAGAGAGTACCTTCCCACAAGCGATGATTGACGCTCTCTGCTCGTGCTCACGCGCCCTAAAAGAGAATTGAAATTTTTTATGATCCCAAAAGTCACGGCTCTCCATTGTTTAATCTCAGCCATTAGATTTTGGCATATGCCCAGAATAAGTGACGCCAGTATATGCTATTATTATACCGGCTCTTTCGTTTAAATATATGAGTACTAGCAGAGATCCCAGCTCCGCTGGGAGATATAGCATACCCAAGATAAATAGATCTTCTTTTCTAATTTTACAATGTTGGAAATTTTGATTGTATTCAAGGTTAAATTTATATAAATTTTACTATTATTCATCTCCAGAGAAATGCATAATAATGCAATTAGATAATAATGCAAGTGTTGGGGAAAATAAGGTCATTTTTAATCATCATTAAATTTGAATTTGAATTTTTTATTGAAAGGTAGAAAACCCTAAAAACATAAACAAGATTGCTGTCATGCTTTAAAAGTAATTAAGTTTTCACAAAACTGAAGAATTATAGACTACCAAAAAATAATAAGTTAGTTTGAAGAAATTATAATTTTAATTGCATACTGAGCTAAATTTATTTTATCTCAACTCTAATGATGCCTCTAACTTTCATAGCTTTCTAAAGAATAATAGAATATTTATTATGTGTCTGGTTTTACATTTAAATAGACATAATTAAATCTATTTAGATATTCACACTACATTAGGGGTGTTGAAAAGAGGTACATCCAAAGATAATAATTATATGAGAGATATAATGTTTGCATTATAAAAAATCTGTACTAATGCTTTATGATAAAATTATGTATTCATGTCTCATATATGACATGCTATCTAATATGGTAAAAGTAATCTCATACACATAAAAATATCAAATTCATTTCTTAATAATATCTCAAAAATAACAAACCCTTTTATATTTTCAATTAGTCTCTTTGCTCATAATCTTACTGAAATCTACCAGCAGTTTTACATGAGTTTTATTGTTTGTCTCAATATTTATACAATGATTTATTTTCTATGTTAGATTATGTTATTATTATATAAATGCAAAAAAACTCAAATTCAAATTTAATGATAATAAAAAAAAGATCTTATCTTGCATTATTGTGCATTTGTCTGGATACGAATAGTAGCAAAATTTAGATAAATTTGACCTTGTATACAATCAACATTGTAAAATAAGAAAAGAAGATTTATTTATCTTGGGTATACACTATTTCCTAGTGAAGCTAGGGTCTTTGTTAGTACTCTTTATGTAACGTTACTTTTTAAAAAAGAGAAGTTCATGGTTTCAAAATAAAGCACAATACTGTGCTATATTTTTGAGAATGATGCAACTCCACTAGAAAACATAAAAGTGTAACCTTGAGTTGCTAATGTGCCTCACTCATGAGCCCAAGCACAAACTTGTGCTAATGGAACATCTCACATCCATCTTAGAGAATAATATTTTGAAATATTTATATTAGATATTTATTAAAATATAAAATATTATTACACCTCTAAAACCTTTCCAACCAGAACATGATTTAGCAAAACATCAAGAGTAATACATTTTATAACTCATAATGCATAACATAACCACTGTGAAAATTCAATGATGAAGAGACAAAATTCTTGAGAAAGAAAAACATAGAATGAAGAAAGTTAAGAGATAAAGGAGTGTAAAATATTAAAAAATTTGTTTTATATGAACTTCTCAAGGAAAGTGTTTTAGGCTAAAAAGTAATAGAAAAGCTCCCAATTAAATATCAAGAATAATCAGATTAAATTTAAATAATAAATAAACCAAGAATCATCAGGATTATATTTAGGTGATATCATGCTAGTAAGCTATATATGTAAATCATGATTCCAAACGCATTAAAACATTTTGAAAATTTTAATAATTTGCTATCAGATTGTCTATAGCCAAAACAATTCAAATCATATACAGATAAAAATCTAGAAAATTAAAATTTTAAAATACATATATATAAAATTATTCAAGACTACTTACTATTCAGTAATTATATAAAAGGGCACATGATTATTGATTAATTTAGATTATTAAATTACTAATGTTTTAAATATAAAAATGGATCCAACACATAAGTAAGTATATATATATATATATATATATTAAGAATCTAATATTTTGTAAATGATATATTATTTAACATTTTTAAAAATACTATAAATATGTAAATTTTTTTTAAAAAGTTTTTAATTTAGTATTCAAATTGTTGTATTAAGCTTATCAATTGTCAGTAAAGTGTTACTAATGCATTATTATTCTCAATACTTCTTCATTTTCTTGTATCAAAACCAATTGATACTTAAATTTTAATCTAAATATAAAAATTATTAAAACAGTTTGCATTTTAAAATATAAATGAAAACCTAAATAATAATTAACATTTTTTGAAATTATAATAAAACATATCTTTGACATTCATAATATTTACATGTATAACTTATATGTATTTTAAGATGAATATTTTAGTAAACTCTAAACATGAAACCTAAATATGATTCTGAAAACTGATTAATTAATAATGATTTCTTTTATATATTTAGCATTGGGTATTTTAAGCACTAAACAGGACTTTTTTAGCACTAATGATCTCTAAAAAAGTAAAAGAATTTAGTTTTGAAATTAAATGCTAATTTATATTTCAAAACAGTAGCACTCTTATACTTTCTTTCTTTGCTCAAATACTCCATTATCTATTTTTTTTAAAACAAATGTAAGATTTAAATATTAATTATTAATATAACATTCAAAATTACTATTTGGTAATGTCTTATATATTTATCATCTTGAAAAACCCATTTAGCAATTTCATTATAAATTCTCAAAAAAATATATTAAAGTAGAATATAAAAATATTATTGTCTATAACAATATCTAATATTCTAATTAAAAATAGAGGACTTCATAGTTCCAGCTATTTCTTCTGTATAATAATTGAATTTTTATCAG